GGTATTTTTGGGTAACCGTAGGCTCCAGGTTGCCCCAGCCACTGCGAGAATGGAGTGCCCCAGATCATCTCTGAGCAGCGTGCTTCGGCCGCAGCTCCTTATCAAAGATGGCGGGCGCCATGACGGGCACGAAGTCTCTCGCCATGTGTTCGCGGTTATCAGCATAAGCGAAGTTATGCCAGTTGCTAGCAAAAGCTATGATAGCAGCTATTCGTTTTCTTCGGTGTTTTGCTTTTCTTCCTTTTCTTTTTCTTCCGCTTTCTCTTCCCCTTCGCCTTTTTCCTTTCTTTTTGCTTTTCTGTTTTCTTTCCTGTTTCTTTCTCCTCTCTGTTTTTTCCACTTTTTCTTGTGCCTTTTCTTCCTCCTCTCTTTGTGGCTCTCGCTCAGGTAGTTTTTGCGTTTGGCAACTCGGTTTTGTCTCAAACCGTCATTCGGTCTTTTAGTTGTGCAATCCAGCTGCGCGATTACGTATCTAGCTTGCTTCGGTTCTTGATGCATCGCTTCACTATGCTAATCAGCCGACTGACCGGCCGGCCCCCTCCCTTTCACCTCAGCTCCGACTACTACATGACTGTCTCTGTCTTTGTCTCTGTCTCGTGTTCCTCCTCTGGCCTGCTCCATCCTGCTCCTTTCTGGCCCTTCACCTTCGCAACCCTCCTCGTCTACCAGACGAACCTATTTTCTTGTTTCTTGGTTAGAGTTGCGCCCGCAGTGATGTGTGTGTGTGTGTGTCTGTGTTGTGTTTGTGTGTGTTGTATGTCGCGCGTGTGTTACGCGTGTGTGCGGGTGTGCGGATGTTGTGTGCGTGCGTGTGCGCGCGCGTGTGCGTGCGCGTGTGCGTGTGCGTGTGCTTGCGTGTGCTTGCGTGCGCGCGTGTGTGTGTGTGTGTGTGTGTGTGTGTGTGTGTGTGTGTGTGTGTGTGTGTGTGTGTGTGTGTGTGTGTGTGTGTGTGTGTGTGTGTGTGTGTGTGTGTGTGTGTGTGTGTGTGTGTGTGTGTGTGTGTGTGTGTGTGTGTGTGTGTGTGTGTGTGTGTGTGTGTGTGTGTGTGTGTGTGTGTGTGTGTGTGTGTGTGTGTGTGTGTGTGTGTGTGTGTGTGTGTGTGTGTGTGTGTGTGTGTGTGTGTGTGGTGTGTGTGTGTGTGTGTGTGTGTGTGTGTGTGTGTGTGTGTGTGTGTGTGTGTGTGTGTGTGTGTGTGTGTGTGTGTGTGTGTGTGTGTGTGTGTGTGTGTGTGTGTGTGTGTGTGTGTGTGTGTGTGTGTGTGTGTGTGTGTGTGTGTGTGTGTGTGTGTGTGTGTGTGTGTGTGTGTGTGTGTGTGTGTGTGTGTGTGTGTGTGTGTGTGTGTGTGTGTGTGTGTGTGTGTGTGTGTGTGTGTGTGTGTGTGTGTGTGTGTGTGTGTGTGTGTGTGTGTGTGTGTGTGTGTGTGTGTGTGTGTGTGTGTGTGTGTGTGTGTGTGTGTGTGTGTGTGTGTGTGAGTGTGTGTGTGTGTGTGTGTGTGTGTGTCTGCGTGTCTGCGTGTCTGCGTGTCTGCGTGTCTGCGTGTCTGCGTGTCTGCGTGTCTGTGTGTCTGTGTGTCTGTGTGTCTGTGTGTCTGTGTGTCTGTGTGTCCGTGTCTGTGTCTGTGTGTGTTTTTGTGTCTGTGTCTGTGTCTGTGTGTGTGTTCGCGTGTGCGTCTTCGTGTTTGCCAATGTTTTCGTCTTCGTGTTTGCGCGGTTTGTGTTTTTGTGCGTGTTCCTGCGTGCGTGCGTGTTCGTCGCCCGCTTCCTTCAAGGGATGTGCCGGGAAGTCAGCTGTTGAATCGCTCTAACCAAGCGCGGCGAAAGAGTTTGAGCTTCAGGAGGCCTGCCCCGCCATGTAACCCAGTGGCCAAAAACGACGCGACGTAGTTTGGTTGTGGCTATGTCTTGCAAAGCGCAGGGCCACGCAAGTCACTGCGAAAGTGGTCACGCGCGTCGGGCCTGCTAGGTTTCTGTCAAAGATTCACTCTGGCAAAAGGAGCGTCTGAAAGATGGTGAAAGGGTCGCAAAAGTAGGGGCGCAACAAGCTGCAGGCCTTGCGGGACTGAGTCTCGACACCCAGCCAGCAAGGCACTCCCAAGCAGGACCACGCGCGGCCCTCTTAAAATTCATGATGCCAAACAAGGCGTGCGAAGCAACACGTTGGGCGGAAACGGTAATGAGCAACGTAGAGTTTTTGGACCGCTTCAAGTTAAGTTGCAACATGATCGAGACTAGTTGGGGCATGTGGGAGCATTCCGAGCCTTTGACGCAGGTGTTTGCGATGACGCTTGTTGCGTGCTTCGTGACATCTTCTGCTGTCCGTGACACAGCCGAAGCCGCGGGCGCCAACCTGGGCTGCAGACCAGTAGGACTGAAACACGGAGGATGCGTGGAGCATACGCTTTCTACCATTGACAGGATGGGGCTGCAGCAAGACCGGAGCGACATGCTGCACCGACGTGTTCAAATACACGCGTTGTGTGAACGGCGGCGACATCAGAGTTGAGCTGCCCTGCTGCATGGTGACCCCATATTGAGCTCTGCTTCTGTTTTTGTTAAACCTTTGTTTCCAAAATCAAGCACACACCCGCTTGCAGACCTCTTAGCATGGGCTTCAACACAGAAGTTCCGATCAGTTTGGTTGTGTTGCGCGCCCAGATTCGACTTGGCAGCTGATTGATCTTGGGGTAAGGCTGATGTTTCAGAAGAAAGTCGCTGCTACACATGCTACTTAGTGGCAGCCAAGGTCGCCTGGCCTGAGACAATGGCGGAATTGGACGAATTCTTACCCAAGGTCTGCCGATGCTGGGCTGCATGTTGGTCCGCTGACGGTTAGGTTTGTAGAGTCAGCAGTAGCAGCAGAGCTGCGCTGAATGTTTGGAGCAGCCCAAAGTCAGCCCAAAACGCGCCCAACAGCCTGGGTATCAGCCCGTGTCCAGCCAACACAAAACCGCCCTGCCTCTGAATCCAATTGCGTCTGCTTTTGCTTCGCATCACACCGTTGATCTTCCCACAGCCATTTTGGCATTATTGGGACATAGTTGGATCCTCTCGAAATAGATCCAGGGAATTGGTGGCGGGGCAAGTATTTCAGAAGATCCAAATCAAGATGTCATTTGATGGAGAAGACTTCATGGAGGCCTATTCAGCCGCCGTCGTCGACGGAAAAGTTAGCTGCTTGAGGCTGGTATCTTGGCAACACCCAGGCGAAGTTGGACGCTGCCAACGAAGCGCACAAGGTTCCCGCAGAGAGCCCTGAACCTTAATGACCTTCAACCTCATCTTTGGAAGCAGCCTTCGTGTAGCCAGGGTTTCATTCTCGCAGCCCTCGTTACGAGTGTCGAGAGAGTTCCCTTTGACTGGCTGCGCGTGGAGCTCGGAAGCAAGCGCGCCACAAAAGATGTCATTCTCTTGAAGTACCACGGAATGGATTTCATTTTACTTGCGTGCAAATTCTTGAGAGAAGAGTTACACGCGTATTCCTGTGACGATTGGCGACAAGACCGTGGAGGCAGAGCCGATCCCCGTATCCAAGAAGAAGCAGCGGAAGGGATCGGAGAATAGGAATTCCACGCCATTTTGGAGGACTGAATTGCGCAGGCAATTTCGGCCATCGACCCCCCGGTGAAAACGCAGGCGGGTCCAGTCATCAAGACGAGGGCAAGGGTAGAGAGGAGCAAAGGCTTGCTGCGCGCCATTGGCCCGGATGGAGGCATGGGCTGGCCAGGTCCTTTGGGATGGGGCGAGCGACGCTCTGCTGCGTCGATGCACGTGGCCATATGCAGTTTTGACTTCTTCCAGTCTGCGCTTGCTTTCTGCCATTTCCCGGCATTTCGACACTACTGTCGGGTAGGACCGTTCAGGGGCCACTGCCTGGTTTCTCAAGTGATTTGCATAGTGGCCAGGAGTTGAGAATGAGTCGTGTCGGCCGACGTGTAGCTGAGCTCGTGGCCTTTTAAGCCTATGTTGGGTAGAATTCCTTTTGTGCAAATGTCCGCCTGGCACGGAAAAGTCAGAATCTTACACCGTGCGGGGGCATCACTAGTTTAACAGCGACACGCCTACTTCATGACCCACTTTTGGCTCAAACCAACTGTTCTCGCACCTAGCTTAGCCAGGTGCGAAGGGTGACTCGTGAGAGCAAGGCAAGAAATGACACATCGAGCTGATTGCACTGCTGCGGTATCAATTGGTACTCTTGCGTCGGTGTTACAGGACAGTACAACCATTGCTCCTCCCCAGTACCACTCCCAGCCTCCAACCGGGAAGGCTTCTCATGCTGAGGATGTTTCAGCCCTAAGAAGAGCCAGTCCTACTCACTTTTCACGCATCCGGATTCGCTCTGGCTGTTTCAAGGGCATATGCTCCGTCGCGAACCCCGACGGCCAGTTCGGGAACATCGGTGATGAATGCGCCAACGATGTGGACTGCAACCCACATGACGGCCTTTGGTGTGTATGGCCAGCAAGCAGTACCGGTTCAAACCATTCCTGTTTTTGCCAATGTCCGTGCAAACAGTCGCGCTGCGCCTTTACATCTGTTCAAGGAGTATTTGCGCAGCTCCTGCCTAGACTTATCCGTTTTGAGTGTATTTGCGCATTGGACAAGATCTTTTGGCTACACAGAACTTGTTTTGTTTCTCGGCGTGTTGCCCCCTTTTTATCTCTGTGTTGATGTTGTTTTGCTGAATTTTTAAATTGCCTTTCATGCCGCAGTGAGGCCAAAGTCCCGGGGGTGCAAGGGGCCAGTGCTTCAAGGAGAAGGAGTCCTGAGTTCGAAAGACACGCGTTGTCTCACGGCCAACATGTCCATCCTTAGCACTGAAGATATGCCATCAGTGCAGCTACCATTCCTTCTGCGCAGTGCTCGAGAGTGAAAAAAGGCGTGGATTGGTGCTGAGAATGGTTTGGTTCGAACCCAGTGTGGCGTTGTTTTTTTTAACCAGTGTGCATGCTTGTTGTTTGTTCTGTGATTCCTCGCATGTCGCTTGTAAGCCATGCCTAG